TCCTTTGCATCCGAGTCCTGACCGAACTGATCTGGATCTTAAGCTCGAGCTGTCTCAGCACATAGTAGCTGCCCCAGAGCTAATTGACAGGGGAACATTCCAGGAGGACGCGCCGCGGAACGTCCCAAGGGACGCGCCAGGCGACGTGCCAAGGGACGTGCCACGGGGACGCACCGCGGGACGTGCCGAGGGGACGCGCTACGGAACGTGCCAATGGACGTGCCACGGGACGTGCCAGGGGACGCGCCGCGCGACGTGCCAGGGGGACTCGCCACGGGACGCGCCACGGAACGTGCCAGGTTGCAATGCTGAGTGTCTCGATTTTGATGTCCCGTGCCGAGGGCTGTGCTGTGCTGCGCTGTGCTGAATGCGATGTGCCATGCCGCGATTTTGCTCTATAGCGTTGTGGATCGAGTCCTCCTTTGCATCCGAGTCCTGAGCGAACTGATCTGGATCTTAAGCTCGAGCTGCCTCAGCACATAGTAGCTGCCCCAGAGCTAATTGACAGGGGAACATGCCAGGAGGACGCGCCGCGGAACGTCCCAAGTGACGCGCAAGGCGACGTGCCAGGGGACTTGCCACGGGGACGCACCGCGGGACGTGCCGAGGGGACGCGCTACGGAACGTTAAAATGCGTGGTCCTTGTTCGGGGCAACCATGTTAGATATCCCCCTGGATGGCCTGGACACCTAAGAACACATGGTGCCAGCTCAGGAAACCATTGCTATATACACTCCTGAATAGCCTGGGCTCGTTACAACACGTGGTCCTTGCTCAGAACAATCAGGTTAGATACCCCCCTGGGTGGCCTGGATACGTAAAAAACATGTGGTTCCAGCTCAGGACCACCATGTTAGATACCCTCCTGGGTGGCCTGGACACGTAAAAACATATGGTTCCAGCTCGGGGCCACCATGTGAGATACCCCCTTGGGTGGCCTGCACATGTAAAAACACGTGGTCCAGCCCACCCAGGGGGGGATTTCCAACATGCGGTCGTCTGGAGCGCAGGAGGTCCCAGGAACGCCCAGAGGCGCCTGGAGGTCAAAAAGTAAACGAACCGATACCAAATACAAATAAACTCTCGACGTTCCGTTCCGAGTCCCAGGAAGGATCCATGAGGCCCATTTTAGATACCTTTTGAATGGCCTGGACACGTGAAAACACATGGTTCCAGCTCGGGACCACCATGTTAGATACCCCCTTGGGTGGCGTGGACACGTGAAAACACGCAGTTCCAGCTCGGGACCACCATGTTAGATACTCATTTGGGTGGCCTGCACACGTGAAAACGCGTGGTTTCAGCGAGAGACCACCATGTTAGATACCCCTTGGGTGGCCTGGGCACGTGAAAACACGTGGTTCCAGCTCGTGACCACCATGTTAGATAACTCATGGGTGGCTTGGACACGTAAAAGCACGCGGTTCCAGCTCAGGACCACCATGTTAGATACCCCCTTGGGTGGCGTGTACACGTGAAAACACCCGGTTCCAGCGCGGGGCCACCATGTAAGATACACCCTCTGGGCGACTTGGGCACGTGAAAACACATGGATACAGCGCGGGACCCTCTTAGACACCCCCTGGATGGCCTCGACAGGTCAAACACGTGGTTCCAGCTCGGGACCATTATGTTAGATACCCACCTGGGTGGCCTGAATACGTGAAAACACGTGGCTCCAGCGCGGGACCACCATGTTAGATACACACCTGTGTGGCTAGGATACGTGAAAACGTGGTACTATCTCGGGACCACCATGTTAGATGCCCATGTTGGTGCCTTCGACTCGTGAAGCGACGTGGTTCCAGCTCGGGCAGAACATGTCATACACCCCCCTGTGTGGCCAATGAAATCCTAGAAAAACAAGCGAACTTGTCAAAACATCCTCGAAATTCCTGCGCGCTGGACGCGGCACGCGCGAGATATCCTCGGAATTCCTGCGAGCGGGAAGTAAAAGCAATCATTTCGCCTGAGGCATCCTCTGAATTCTGGCCCCCCACGAGGCCCCCGCTCGAGACATCCCCCAACTCTGCAAAACCAGCGTTTCACTCGAGACACCCTCAACAAATTCTAATAACAAGCGTTTCGCCCGAGACATCCTCAAAAATAATTCCGCCTGCCTCCTTCAAACTTGTCATTCATCGCAAAATAATCCCGCCGGCCTCCTTCAAGTCGTCAAAACCGGGGTAACAATACTAAAAGAGAACCCTGGGCCGGCGCCCTTTCCGGGAAAAAGAACGATGAGACAAAGACAGTGAAACAAAGCGGGCAAGAGGATGGCCTTGGAAGGCTTCTTCGGCCATCCCTTGGGCCCGCGGGGGTGCGAGGAGAGGAGGAGGAGGAGGAGGAGGAAGAGGAGGAGGAGGAGGAGGAGGAGGAGGAGGAGGCAAACCACCTCTTGGGGCCCCCGTGGGACGTTCATGGTCCTTCTGCAGTAACGCAGTACGGAGCCGCTCGGAACGCAGTAACGAGACCAATCTTCTGCATGCCCACAAGAACCTGGGGCTCCCCCTCACTTGCCTTGAGTTTGAAGTTTCGCTGGACGAAGTTCGCGAAGAAACTTCGCTCCATTTTTTCCATTCTGCCAATTTCAGCCTTATCATCGTCCTCCCCCTCCTCGTCCTCTTCGTCTTCCAACTCCTCCTGCTCCACTTCCTGCTCTTCCTCCTCCTCTTCCTGTTCTCCTTCTCTAAACTCCTCCTCGTCCTCCCCCGCCGCATCCGTTTACCTCCGCGGGGACGGGCGGGGGAGAGAGGACAAGCAAGAGAAAGCGGAGAGGGTGGATGGGGCGTTGGAAGGAAGGATACCTTGGGGTGGAAGGTGGTAGGGATGGAAGTTGATCTTGGCCAACCTCTACCTATCCAACCCGCCGGTCCCCCCCTCTGGATCTCCCAGGTTGAGTGCCCAGGACGTGTATCGAAGATGACGAGGACGTTGGCAAGGGGGGAGGAGTATTACTGACTGGGTGTCCCATGCACTCGCTGGTCAGTTTCATGGCACCGTGGGCTGGGAAGGCGCCACAACGAATGCAACATGATCGACCCAGTAACCCAGAAAGGAATTTAGAAACGCGAGGCATGGCTACGTTTTCAATACATTTGATTTGGCGACAGGCAATTGCAATGCTCAAGGTATCGATCGTGATGTACCGTGCGAAGGCTTGTGCTGTGCTGCGCTGTGCCGTGCTGAAACGACGTGTGTCATGCCGCAATAAAGTGCGTTGTGCTCTATAACGCTGTGGATCCAGTCGCCCTTCGCATCCGCATCCTGACCGAACTGATCTAGATCTTGAGCTCGAGCTGCCTGAACGTACAGCTGGCCCAGAACTGGTTGCAGTCGCAATGCGTGGGACGCTCAATCAGCTCGAGAGCTCGAGATCCTACTCGGTTCCGAGGCGGGGCGAGACGACACGGGGCGCAGGGCGCATGGACGCTCCTCGGAATGCGCCGGGGGCGCACCGGGGGATGCGCCAAGGGACGTGTCAGGGCGGACGTGGCAGGGGACGCGCCACGGAACGGGCAGGGAGAGCGCCAGGGGACAGGCCAGGGAGCGCGACAGAGGACGAGCCGGGGGACGCCGAGGTGGGAGGGGCGTACGCCGTCCCGCTCTGGGGCGTCAGGACCCACGTGTGTTCACGCTGATCCCGTCCTGGGGCGCCAGGGACCCACGTGTTTTCACGTGTCCAGGCCACCCAGGGACGGACATCTAACGTGTGGTCGTGGAAACACGTGGTTCCAGCCCGGGGCCACAATGTTAGATATTAGCTTGGATGGCCTGGACACGTAAAACGTAAAAACACACGGCTCGAGCTCGGGACCACCATGTTAGACGCCCTTGGGTGGTCCGGACACGTGAAAATACATGGTTCCAGCTCGGGGCAACCATCTTATTTACCCCAATATAGGTGGCCTGGACACGTAAAAACATGTGGCTCCAGTTCGGGACCACCCGGGCGGCCTGGACACGTGGAAACACGTGGTTCCAGCTCGGGACCACCATGTTCGATACCCAAAGGGGAAGTCTAGAACATCGCCCGCCAAAGAAACCGTGTCAGGTTATCACACATCTGGTGTCGATGTATTGATGTTGTCTGTTTCCTGTGGGTCCAGACACACTCGGGGCTTTCAGGCGACCACATGTCAGATACCCACCCTCGGGTGGCCCAGACAAATAAAACCGCATGCTTCCAGTCTGGGGCAACCATGTTACATGTTCAGCGCCCCTCTGGGTGGCATGGACATGTAAAAACATGTGCTTCCAGCTCGGTGCCAAAATGTTCGATACCCCTCTGGGTGGCCTGGACACGTAAAAATGCAGGGTTCAAGCTCGAAGCCACCATGTTAGATACTTCTCTCGTCGGCCTGAGCACGTGAAAACACGTGGTTGATGGTTCGAGCAACCATCTTTGACCCCCCCCCTTCTGGGCGGCCTGGACACAACATGATCGACCCACGAACCCGGAAAGGAATATAGAAATGTAAGGCATGGCAACGTTTCAAAGACACTTGATTGGGCGACGGGCCAATGCAATGCTGAGTGTATCGATCTTGATGTACCGTGCCGAGGGCTGTGCTGTGCTGCGCCGTCCTGAATTGCGAGATGCCATGCCGCGATTGTGCGCTGTAGCGTCGTGGATCGTGTCCTCCTTTGCATCCGAGTCCTGACCGAACTGATCTGGATCTTAAGCTCGAGCTGTCTCAGCACATAGTAGCTGCCCCAGAGCTAGTGGACAGGGGAACATGCCAGGAGGACGTGCCACGGAACATCCCAAGGGACGCGCCAGGCGACGTGCCAGGAGACGTGCCATGGGGTCGCACCGCGGGACGTGCCAAGGGGACGCGCTACGGAACGTGCCAATGGATGTGCCACGGGATGTGCCAGGGGACGCGCCACGCGACGTGCCAGGGGGACTCGCCAAGGGACGCCCCACGGAACGTGCCAAGGAACGTGCCAAGTTGCAATGCTGAGTGTATCGATCTTGATGTACCGTGCCGAAGTCTGTGCTGTGCTGCGCCGTGCTGAATTGCGATGTGCCATGCCGCGATTGTGCTCTATAGCCTCGTGGATCGAGTCCTCCTTTGCATCCGAGTCCTGACCGAACTGATCTGGATCTTAAGCTCGAGCTGCCTGAACACATAGTAGCTGCCCCAGACCTAATTGACAGGGGAACATGCCAGGAGGACGCGCCGCGGAATGTCTCAAGGGACGCGCCAATCGACGTGCCAGGGGACGTGCCATGGGGTCGCACCGCGGGACGTGCCAAGGGGACGCGCTACGGAACGTGCTGGGGACAAGCGTTTCGCTCTAGACATCCTGTCAAAACAAGGACATCCTGGAAAAAACAAGCGAATTAGTAGAGACATCCTCGAAATTCCCGCGCGCGGGACGCGGCACGCGCGAGACATCCTCGGAATCCTTGCGAACGGGACGTGAAACCAAGCATTTCGCTTGAGACATCCTTTGGATTCTGCCCCCCCCACGAGGCCCCCGTTCGAGACATCCCACAATTTTGCAAACCAGCGTTTCGCTCGAGACATCTTCAACAAAGTATGAACAACAAGCGTTGCGCTCGAGACATCCTGACAACATCAAAACCATGCTGGGAAAACAAGCGAATTAGTCGAGACATCCTCGGAATTCCTGCGCGCGGGACGCGGCACGCGCGAGACATCCTCGGAATCCTTGCGAACGGGACGTGCAAACAAGCATTTCGTTTGAGACATCCTTTGAATTCTGGCCCCCTACGAGGCCCCCGCTCGAGACATCCTCCAACTCTGCAAAACCAGCGTTTCGCTAGAGACATCCTCAACTAATTATGAACAACAAGCGTTTCGCTCGAGACATCCAGTCAAGATCGAATGAACTCCTAGAAACACCAAGCGAATTAGTTGAGACATCCTCGAAATTCCTGCGCGCGGGACGCGGCACGCGCGAGACATCCTCGGAATTCCTGCGCGCGGGGTGCTTTCCCGTGTCGCGGTCGGGGCTCCAAGCATTTTTTTTGATTTTGCTAACAGTGCGCCGCATTTCTTTTTCCCAGCCATCCTGCTGTGTTGGGTCTTCGTTTTGAAGAAACAGCGCCCCGCGTCCCACCTTCCTTCCTCCTCCCTCTCGGACTAAAAACATGAAGTGCGGGCCCCATAGGGAGAGGGCTCCCGCCTGAGACTTCCTCGCAGTTCACTCACAGACGAGGCTCCCTCTTGATACTTCCCCATGCTCAGGCCTCAGGAACCCAACAGTGACGACAGTTACAGGTTCGAGGATGACCCGCTCGGATTACAAACATGAAGTGCTGGCCCCATAGGGAGAGGACTCCCGCCTGAGACTTCCTCGCAGTTCACTCACAGACGAGGTTCCCGCCTGATACTTCCCCCATGTTCAGGCTCTGGGAGCCTAAAAATGATGACAGATACAGGTTCCAGGATGACCCGCTCGGATTACAAGCATGAATTGCGGGCCCCATAGGGAGATGGCTTCCGCCTGAGGCTTCCGCGCAATTCACTCACAGACGAGGCTCCCGCCAGATACTTCCTTCCATATTCAAGCTAGCGAATGAGTGGGTGAGTGAGTGAATGACTGACTGAGTGATGATGATGATGATGATGATGATGATGATGATGATGATGATGATGATGATGATGATGATGATGATGATGATGATGATGATGATGATGATGAGAGGAGGAGGAGGAGGATGATGCAGATGATGAGTGAGTGGGTGAGTGAGTGTGTGATCGAGTCATGGTCAAGGTGATCAAGATAGTCTGTGTGTGAGTAATGTGAGTGTGAGCGAGTGTGTGTTCCTGTGTGTTCCTGGGCGGGGTGTCCAGAGAAAACAAGAACCCCACTTTGGATGCGGTGAAGAAAAATCCTGAACTCAGAACCCTTTCCAGGAAAAATCGATCGGCCAGTTGTGAAACCGACCCAAGCCATCCCGAACAAGGAAACCGAAACGGGCTGGAGCCGAAACAAGCCAGAGCCGAAATGGGCCAGGACAAAACGGGCCGAAGCCGAAACGTGCCAAAACCAAGCGGGTCGAAGCCGAAATGTGTTGGAGCCGAAACGGGCCGAAGCCGCGTTGGGCCTAAGCCGAAAGGGGCCGAAGCCGAAATGGGCCACAGCCGAAAAGGGCAAGAGCCTGAAATGTACCGAAGCCAAAACGGGCCTGGACCGAAACGGGCCAGAGCCGAAACGGGCCAGAGCCGAAACGGGCCAGAGCCGAAACGGGCCGAAGCCGAAATGGGCCGAGGCCGAGGCCGAAATGGGCCGAGGCTGAAATGGGCCGAGGACAGCCGATACAGGCTGGAGCCGAAACGGGCCAGGACAAGACGGGCCGGAGCCGACACGGGCCAGGACGGAACGGGCCGAAGCCAAACCGGGCCGTGCCGAAACGGGTTGAAACCGAAGAGACCGATGAGTCCGCAATGGGCCCGAGGAGATAAGGAGGAGGATGAGGAAAAGGAGGAAAAGGAGGAGGAGGAGGAGGAGGAGGCACGGTCGTCACCTCGTCCTCTTCTCCTCCTGCTCCTCCTGCCTCTCCTCTTATCTCCCTCGTTGTTGGCTCGCGGCAGCCTGCGGCAGGTGGCATGCTCGCGCTTTGCTCACGACCTCGGCAGGCTCAGGTCGGACCCAAAGGCGGGTACACGCCCGCTGCCAATTCGCAGCTCGGCGGCGCGCAGAGGACTGGATGCGCGAGGGGGCGGGTCTTCTCAGCAGGCGGCGGGGCTTCTCAGAGGCCCTCCGGCCTTCCGGCGAGCCCTCCCTGGCCCTGGAGAGGGCCAAGGGCCCCTCGAGCTTGCCGGGGCGGCCTGCCCTCTCCGCCTTCCCCCCCTGGGCGTGCCGCCAGGGTCCGATTCACGGCGGTCCGCGTTCTGACCCGCTGGCGGTCGGGCCCCCCCACGGCTGTAGCGGTCGGCGGGGAAGTCTTGGGACGTTCTGGTTCCCGGGCCCTGGAGGAGGAGCAGGGTAGAGGAGCTTAGGGGAGGTTAGAGGAGGCTAGAGGAGGTTAGAGGAGGTTAAAGGAGGAGGAGGAGAAGAGGAGGATAAGGAGGACGACAAGGTAGGAGGGGGAGGAGGAGGAAAAGGAGGAGGAGGAGGAGGAGGAGGAGGAGGAGGAGGAGGAGGAGTAGGAGGAGGAGGGGGAGGAAAAGGAGGAGGAGGAGGAGGAGGAGGCGAGGTTGCCCTCGAAGGTGGGAGAGGTGGTCCAGGGGACAGGCGTCAGATGCGGGGGGCCGGGGCTCTCGCGAGTTGTGCGCGGGAGGCCCCGGCTCTCGCGAATCCTCCGCGGGATGCCCGGGCTGCCGTCAATTGATCGCCCATGGCCAATCCACGGCTGGAGGTCCACCGGTTTCAGACCTTGGATTCCTTATCCAGTTGTTCTTTATCCAATGGAGGGGAGAGGGACGGGTCCTGCAGCGAGACGCGTACGGAAAGAAAGATGCTCGCACTGAAGTGTAAAGAACTCCTTGGCAACATCCTTAAGCATCGCTGGCGCAGCGAAGTGCGCCGTGCGTTAGCCGGAACGTTCAAACAACTCCGCACACTGCGCATCTCCCTCCTTCTTCCTCGTCAGATCCGTTTTTTTGCCGCATGCTTCTACGGGCCCGGGGTCCTCAACCCCTTTGATCCTTGCAGGCTAGCTGCCCTGCGTGGGTTCCAGGATGGGGGGGACGCGATGCTCTGGCGCCGCTCGGAACGCAGTACGGAGGCCAACCTTCTGCATGCCCATGGGAAGCTGGGCGCCGAGGAGGATGAGGAAAAGGGAGGGGGGGAAGACGAGGAGGGGTAAGGGCCGATGGGGGGAGGGGGGAGCGGGGGAGGAGGAGGAGGAGGAGGAGGAGGAGGAGGAGGAGGAGGAGGAGGAGGAGGAGGAGTCTCCCGCTCACTCTGATTGGAGATCGAAATATGCGAACAGCAGTATAGTGTTTACCTCACGAAGGCGGCTTGCCCTGGCACGGGGCCTGGCGAGCGACTTGCCCCGGCACGGGGCCTGCATTCGGCGAAGAAGTCGATTGCGCTTTGTATTCTTTTTGTTCTGGCCCCTCGGCCTAACGAGGCCTCGGAGCATTGAACGATCATGCCCGGTGTAACTATATTCACGCATCGTCTGTATCGACGCTGAATTCTTTCAGGCATGGATCAGGGCGAAATTGCCCTACACCCGTCGCCAGTTTGGCTGTTCAGGGCGAAATTGTCCTGAACAGCGCCACGCCAGTATTGAAGAATATGTGTCATCGTCTATCCTTTCGCGTATCGCTCGTCCTTCTTTCGTTCCATCTCCTTCTCTTCCTCCTCCTGAACCCTCCGCCTGTTTTTGTTCGTTATGTTCCGTGTTGTTATGTGTTGTCATGTTCCGCGTTGAGATGCGTTGTTCTTTATGCTATGTCTAGTTATGTTTTGTTATGTGCTCTTCGGTTCCTCGCTGTTTGTTTTGTTATGTGACAGTCGTTCCTGTGTTCCTCTGTGCTTTTCTGCGCTGGCCTGTGCTGTTCTGTTCTGCTCCACCCCGTTATGTGTGTTGTTATGTTTTCTTCTGTTGTACTACGTTTTGCGCTGGTCTCTGATGTTCTGCGAAATCCCGCGCTCTTCTGCTAGGTTCCGCCCCGTTATGTCAATTTCTGATCCGCGCTGTTCTGTTCCGTTCTGTCATGTTCCGTGCTGGTCTGTGCTGTTCTGCGACGTTCTGTTCTATGCCGCGCGCAACCCCGGCGAAACTATATTCCGCGCTGTTTGCGTTGTTCTCTGTGTTTTGTTACGTGATGATCTGTGCTACTCTGGTCCCGTCTGCGCGTCGAAGTCTTGTTCAGAACGCGTGCCAGGAAACATCCGTTAGCTGGTTTCGACATGAGGGAGGAGCAGAAGTGGGATATGCAAATGGAGACGGATTGTCCGTGGATTGTTGATCGCCGCACGCGGCAGCCTTGCGGCGGCCGCTCCATTCCGATCCTTTATCCAGTTGCCTACGGCAAGTCCCGCCACCGTGCCTGGGTTGTGGGTATGAAGCCTTTTGGATGTTCGTTGGGAACTCGTGGGAGGCCTCTCGGAGGCCTCTTAGGGGACAGCTTTGGAGCCTTTTGGGGGGCCGTTTGGGGGCCTCTTTCGGGCCTCGTTTGGGCCTTTTGGGGACCTCTTGGGGCCTCTTGGGGGCATCTTGGGGCCTCTTGGCGCCTCTTGGAGCCTCCTAGGAGCTTCTTGGGGTGGAAGGCTCTGATTTTCAGTTAGTGTTCCCTCTCTTGGACCCCTTTTGGGGCCATCTTGGGGCACTCTTGGGCCGTCTTGGGCGCTTCTTGGGCTGTCTTGGGCCCTCTTGGAGGTTTCTTGGACCGTTTTGGGGTACTCTTGGGGGCCTCTTGGATTGTCTTGGAGCGTCGGAAAGCCGAAAAGGCAAAACATCCAAAATCCTTGAACATGATCGACCCAAAGCCCGGAAAGGGAACTGCGAGGCAGGGAACCGTTGAAAGAGCGCGTTCTGGCGCCACTGGCAGGGGGGGAGGGGTTTCCAACCCCCCCTTTTCCCTCCCCCCTCCCACACCATGGAGCGGGTGGGGTTCGGCAACCGGGGGAACCCCCCCCCCGAAAAACCAGGGGGGAGGGTGCAACCTTTCCCCCTCTCCCCTCCGCGGGCCCCCCCAGGGGGGTTCGAACCCTCCCCCCATCCACCTTAGCCGCCGGCAGCCGCCGCCGCCGCCGCCGACGACGACGACGACGACGACGACGACGACGACGACGACGACGACGACGACGACGACGACGACGACGACGACGACGACGACGACGACGACGACGAACGACGACGACGACGACGACGACGACGACGACGACGACGACGACGACGACGACGACGACGACGACGACGAGACGACGACGACGACGACGACGACGACGACGACGACGACGACGACGACGACGACGACGACGACGACGACGACGACGACGACGACGACGACGACGACGACGACGACGACGACGACGACGACGACGACGACGACGACGACGGCGACGACGGCGACGACGACGACGACGACACATTCTTGCGCCAGGGGGGGCGGGGTTCGAACCCCCACCCTCCCCAGGCCCTCCCAGGGGGGTTCGACCCCTCCCCCTTACTCGCCGCTGGCAAGCGACGACGACGACCGACCGACCGACCGACCGACCGACCGACCGACCGACCGACGACCGACGACCGACGACGACGACGTCGTCACAAATCTGCGCCAGCGCCCGTCCACCCGCGGTGAAGAGGAAGGACAAGGGAGAAGAGCGGGGGAGGAGGAGAAACAGCAGCGGGAGGGGGCGGTGGTTCAGGGGTGGTAACGGCAATGGGCGAGAGAACGCGAAGAGAAGGGGTAGGAGAAGGAACATGAGAAGGAGAAGCAGGAGGAGGAGGAGGAGGAGGAGGAGACGAAGGAGGAAAAGGAGGAGGAGGAGGTGGACAAGGAGGAGGAGGAGGAGGAGGAGGAGGAGGAGGAGGAGGAGGAGGAGGAGAAGAAGAGAGGAAGCAGACTGTATACGCATCAGACTGTCGTGTCCCGCCCGCCCGACCCGACCCGCCCGATAGGGTCTGCCCGTCCGACCCGCCCGATAGGGTCCGCCCGTCCCGACCCGCCCGATAGGGTGTTCATGTGTCATGCTGTGTACGCATCAGACGTTAGTGTCCCGCCCGCCCGATTGGGTCCGCCCGTCCCGACCCGCCCGTTAGGGTGTTCATGTGTCATGTTGTCTACGCATCAGACTTTAGTGTCCCGCCCACACGACCCGACCCGCCCGTTAGGGTCCGCCCGTCCCGACCCGCCCGTGAGGGTGCTCATATGTCCTGCTGTATACGCATCAGACTTTAGTGTCCCGCCCGCCCGACCCGACCCGCCCGATAGGGTCCGCCCACCCGACCCGCCCGATACCGTCCGCCCGTCCCGACCCGCCCGTCCAGACCCGTCATGTGCCATGGTGTCTACGCATCAGACTTTCGTGTCCCGCCCGCCCGACCCGACCCGCCGTCCACCCGCCCGACCCGCCCGATAGGGTCCCGTCCCTTTCCTCCCGATAGGGTGCTCATGTGTCATGGTGTGTACGCATCAGACCTTCGTGTCCCGCCCGCCCGACCCGACCCGCCCGATAGGGTCATAATGCTTACGCATCAGACTTTAGTGTCCAGCCCGCCAGACCCGACCCGCCCGCTAGGGTCCGCCCGCCCAACCTGCCCGATTGGGTCCGCCCGTCCCGGGCCGCCCCGCCCGAAAGGGTCCGCTTGTCCCGACCCGCCCGTTAGGGTTCTCATGTGTCATGCTGTGTACGCATCAGACTTTAGTGTCCCGCCCGCCCGACCCGACCCGCTCGATAGGGTCCGCCCGACCCGCCCGATAGGGTCCGCCCGCCGACCGACCCGCCTGATAGGGCCCGCCCGTCCCGACCCGCCAATTTGTGTTCTTATGTGTCATGTTGTATACGCATCAGACTTTAGTGTCCCGCCCGCCCGACCCGAACCGTCCGATAGGGTCCACCCGCCCGACCCGCCCGATACCGTCCGCCCATCCCTTTCCTCCCGATAGTGTGCTCATGTGTCATGGTGTGTACGCATCAGACTTTAGTGTCCCGCCCGCCCGACCCGACCCGCCCGATAGGGTCATGTTGCTTACGCATCAGACTTTAGTGTCCAGCCCGCCCGACCCGACCCGCCCGTTAGGGTCCGCCCGCCCGTTAGGGTCCGCCCGATTGGGTCCGCCCGTCCCGGGCCGCCCCGCCCGATAGTGTCCGCCCGTCCCGACCAGCCCGTTAGGGTTCTCATGTGTCATGCTGTATACGCATCAGACTTTAGTGTCCCGCCCGCCCGACCTGACCCGCCCGATAGGGTCATGTTGTATACGCATCAGACTTTAGTGTCCAGCCCGCCCGACCCGAGTTACGCCCGATAGGGTCCGCCCGTTAGTGTCAGTGTACCCGCCCGCCCGACCCGACCCGCCCGATAGGGTCATGTTGCTTACGCATCAGACTTTAGTGTCCAGCCCGCCCGACCCGACCCGCCCGTTAGGGTCCGCCCGATTGGGTCCGCCCGTCCCGGGCCGCCCCGCCCGATAGTGTCCGCCCGTCCCGACCAGCCCGTTAGGGTTCTCATGTGTCATGCTGTATACGCATCAGACTTTAGTGTCCCGCCCGCCCGACCCGACCCGCCCGATAGGGTCCCCCGACCCGACCCGCCCGATAAAGTCCGCCCGTCCGGACCGACCCGCCCGTTAGGGTGATCATGTGTCATGTTGTATACGCATCAGACTTTAGTGGCCCGCCCGCCCGACCCGACCCGCCCGATAGGATCCGCCCGACCCGCCCGATAGGGTACGCCTGTGCCGACCCGTTCTTTGGGGTTCTCATGTGTCATGGTGTATACACGTCAGACTTAGTGTCCCGCCCGCCCGACACCACCCGCCCGAGAGGGTCCGCCCGTCCGACCCATCCGATAGGGTCCGCCCGTCGTCGTCGTCGTCGTCGACGTCGTCTTCGTCGTCGTCGTCTTCGTCGTTGTCGTCGTTTTCGTCGTCGTCGTCGTCGTCGTCGCTGTGTCGTCGTGTCGCCGTCGTCGTCGTCGTCGTCGTCGTCGTCGTCGTCGTCGTCGTCGGCGTCGTCGTCGTCGTCGTCGTCGTCGTCGTCGTCGTCGTCATCGTCGTTGTCGTCGTCGTCGTCGGCGGCTGCCACTGGCGTGTAGTAGTAGGAAGGGGGGGTTCGAACCCGCCCCCGGCGCAAGAATGCGTCGTCGTCGTCGTTTGCCGGCGGCGAGTAGGGGGGTAGGGGCCCAATGAGGGAGGGGGAGGGGAGGGGGGTTCGAAACTCTGTTTGGGGGGGCCTGGGGAGGGGGAGGGGTGGCGTTCGAAACCCCCCGGGGGGGCCCGGGGAGGGGGGGGGAGGGGGTGGGATTCGGACCTCAGGGTTCTTTGGGGGGGGAGGGGGTCCCCCCAGTTTCCGACCCCCCCTCAGCGATTTTTCTCGGGGGTGGCGGGGGAGCCCCCCCCGGTTCTTCGAACCCCCTCATCGATTTTTTTCAGCACAGCCGCGATGGATCGCGCCTCCTTATTTTCTAAGGACCTCAATTGCATATGCAATTGGGCGTTGCCAGGGGGGCATGCCAGGGGGACGCGCCGCGGAACGTCCCAAGGGACGCGCCAGCGGACGTGCTAGGGGACGTGCCATGGGGACGCACCGCGGAACGTGCCAAGGGGACGCGCTACGCAACGTGCCAATGGACATGCCACGGGACGTGCCAGGGGACGCGCCGCTCGACGTGCTAGGGGGACTCGCCAAGGGACGCGCCACGGAACGAGCCAGGGCACGTGCCAAGTTGCAATGTTGAGTGGATCGATCTTGATGCACGGTGCCGAGGGCTGTGCTGTGCTGCGCCGTGCTGAACTGCGATGTGCCATGCCGCGAGTGTGCTCTATAGCGTTGTGGATCGAGTCCTCTTTTGCATCCGAGTCCTGGCCGAACTGATCTGGATCTTAAGCTCGAGCTGCCTGAGCACGTAGTGGCTGCCCCAGAGCTAATTGCCAGGGGGGCATGCCAGGAAGACGCGCTGCAGAACGTCCCAAGGGACGCACCAGGCGACGTGCCCTGGGACGTGCCATGGGGACGCACCGCTGGACGTGCCAAGGGGACGTGCTACGGAACGTGCTGGGGACAAGCGTTTCGCTCGAGACATCCAGCCCAAATCCTCATGCTAGACATCCGCCTGGGCGACCTGGACACGTGAAAATAAACGTTTCGCTGAACACATCCTCAACAAGTCCTCATGCTAGACATCCGCCTGGGCGAACTGGAAATGTGAAAACGAGTGGCTCGCTCGAGACATCCTCAACACATCTTCATGTTAGACGTCTGGGTGACCTGGGCACATGAAAACAAGCGTTTCGCTGGAGACTTGCTCAACACCTCCTCATGCTAGACATCCGCAATCCTCGTGCTAGTTATCCGCCTGGGCAACCTGGACACGTGCAAACAAGCGACTCGATCTAGACTTCCTCAACACATCCTCATACTAGGCATCCGCCTGGGCGATCTGGACGCGTGAAACCAAGCGTCTCGCTCGAGACATCCTCGAGATCTGGGCACGTGAAAACAAGCATTTCACTTGACAGATCCTCTGAATCCTGCTCCCCAGGAGAGGACAATCTATAACACAAAACAAGCGTTTCGCTCGAGACATCCCCAACCATTTCTACAACACAAGCGTTTCGCTCGGGACATCCTCAAACAATTCCGCCGGCCCTCTTCGACCTCGTTAGTTATCACAGAATAGTTCCGCCAGCCCTCTTCAAGTCACAACCGGTGGGGAACCTACTACATGAAAACCCGGGGCTCAGGCCCTTTCTGGGAAACACCTCAGGACAATCCATGATTTTTGCCTCTTGGGGCCCTCTTGGGAGGCCTCTCTGAGGCCTCTTGGGTCGTCTTGGAGGCTAGTCGGGCCATCACAAGGCCACCTTGGGCTTTTTCGAGCGATCGTTCGGCGACTCGGGGCCCTCTTGGTCCTCGTGGGCGCCACCTGGGCCGTAATGGAAGCCTTGGGGAGCCCCGGGGAGGCGCCATGGCCGCCCAGGGACTACCCGGGAGTAGGGGTGGTGCAGTCGGCTGGGTGCTACCAGAGCAGGTGGAGGGTCCCTTAGAAGACCATCGAACAATTGCCAGGCAGCCCTTGGCATTCTTCTTCCACGCCTCAACGCACCGCAGGCATGGTGGCGGATTCATGGAGCCCTCTAAGCGATTTAGAAGTGCGGATGACCATTGCCTCTTCTCTCTCTCTCTCCCTCTCTCTCTCTCCGTCTCTGGTGAGTAGCCTGGACAGGATATCGGAGCCCGATTCACTATTCAAGAATAGCGAAGTTATTCTGGTCACTCCAGAACAATAATGATTATCCTCCCTGCGACGGTTCTCCTGGAGTGAACATGATGGACCCACGAACCCGGAAAGGGATATAGACATGTGCAGCATGGTCACGTTTTCACGATATCCAACTGGGCGACACCTCACGAAACATCCCACGAGACACCCCGCGAAACATCCCAGGAGACACCTCACGAAACAACCCACGAGACACCTCACGAAACATTCCACGAGACACCCCGTGAAACATTCCACGAGACACCCCACGAACAGGCAACCACTCAACCAGACACCCCACGAAACATTCCACGGGGGTGCGACTGGGTGTGGTCGTGCTGGGGTGTGGTCGTGCTGGAGTATGGTCGTGTTGGGGTGTGGTCGTGCTGGGGTGTGGTCGTGCTGGGGGGTGGTCGTGCTGGGGGGTGGTCGTGCTAGGGGGGTGGTCGTGCTGGGGCGTGGTCGTGCTGGGGCGTGGTCGTGCTGGGGCGTGGTCGTGCTGGGGTGTGGTCGTGCTGTGGTGAGGTCGTGCTGGGGTGTGGTCGTGCTGGGGTGTGGTCTTGCTGGGGTGGGGTCGTGCTGGGGTGTGGTCGTGCTGGGGTGTGGTCGTGCTGGGGGGTGGTCGTGCTGTGGTGGGGTCGTGCTGGGGTGGGGTCGTGCTGGGGTGTGGTCGTGCTGGGGTGTGGTCGTGCTGGGGTGTGGTCGTGCTAGGGTGGGGTCGTGCTGGGGTGGGGTCGTGCTGGGGTGTGGTCGTGCTGGGGTGTGGTCGTGCTGGGGTGTGGTCGTGCTGGGGCGTGGTCGTGCTGGGGTGGGGTCGTGCTGGGGTGGGGTCGTGCTGGGGTGTGGTCGTGCTGGGGTGGTCCGCACCCTGTGATTTATCGATCGGGTCGTGCTGGGGTGTGGTCGTGCTGGGGTGTGGTCGTGCTGGGGTGTGGTCGTGCTGGGGTGTGGTCGTGCTGGTCGTGCTGGGGCGTGGTCGTGCTGGGGCGTGGTCGTGCTGGGGTGTGGTCGTGCTGGGATGTGGTCGTGCTGAGGTGGCCCGCACCCTGTGATTTATCGATCGGGATTTCAAAAACAAGCGTTTCGCCTGAGACATTCTCAAATTTTAATCCGCCGGCCTCCTTCGACCTCGATATTTATCAGGGAAAGAAGCCGCCGGCCTCCTTCAAGTTGGGCACGGGGGACATTGTTTTCATACTAAAAGAGAACCCTGGGCCTACGCCCTTTCCGGGAAAACCAGACCCAGTCCACAATTGATACCATGATCGACCCACGAACCTGGAAAGGGATGTAGAAATGTGAAGCATGGCGTTGTTTCCAAGACGACATACTTGGGCGCCGGGCAGTTGCAGTGTTCAGAGTAAAGATCGTGATGTACCGTGCCACGGGCTGTGCTTTACTGCGCCGTGCTGAGCTTTGCTGTGTTGAGTTCAACGTGTCACGCCACGTTGAACCGTGCCGCGCCCTATGGCATTATGGATCAAGCCGTCCTTGGCGTCATAATCCTTGCCTGAACGCATAGCTCGGGCGAGTTCAAGTCGAGACGCGCGGGGCGCTTCAGCCATGTTCGCGTGCTGCGCATCGCCCCCCAGCGCAAAGGCGGAGGTGGTGCAGACGCGGGCAGCGCTAAGCAACGACGAG